CCCTTCCACCCTCCTCGTCCCTTTCGTTTGCTTTCTTCCACTTACCACGCTGCTCTTTTATTGTTTAATAATGATCGCCTCGACGGGACCGCTATTTTTTCCACGAGCACGCCGATTTACGCGCGATTCCCCAAAAGGGAAGAGAACCCGTGTCGGTGTACGCGTGGAAATTATTTATTTTCATGATCGGCGGGAAATTAATACGAGTGGCCGATTAACGATTCGCCCCGTTAAATGCACGGTTTCGCATATTGTCGATGGAATACTGTCGCTGCTCAGGATCTCGGACAGGCGCGTTATTTGCATCTCCGATGCCCGGAGCACAGGTTGCTTCTGTGGATATTTGAAAGACGATAATTGGTTCGGGAGCAGCGATCCGTTCGCGCGATCACTTCAATATATATCCAGATACACATCTCGAACAGTGTTCCGCGGCGTGATCGTAATTTTGCATCGCGATTTAATATTCGTGAAAAAAGCAGGTCGCCAGTGGTTAGCTGCCGTCGGACGAGCCACGTCCCACGACAAGTTTCCTTGTCCCTACTTTCAACCGTATTTATCTTGTAAATTACAATCGTGCTCCTCTGCATGCGTGGCAGTTTCTTCCATTTTGTTGGCCAAAAGGGACCATAACCGCGCACACTTCAACGACGCCAAGAAAGGGGGATGCTGTGAAAGAACAACGTACACACGTCAGGCTGATCTGTTTACCGGTTTGCCCAAATAAAATTGTTAGCCATTGCAAGACTTTGTAATGGTCTAGGGCCCACGGCAGCCTTGATAAATTGTAGTAATTTTAGATAAACACCATGACTCATATGACAGGACATCATCGATGTACATAACGTCGGTGCATGAGTCTTGAACACGATCAGGCTATGTTACGTACGATATTTGCGTATACACACGACGCGCAGACATCCTTACGCGTACACACGTGCGTGAATATCTTCCATGCACGTGTGCAGAAATGCATCAGCAATTGCAATGAGTCAGTGTACCACGATTTTCCAGCTATGTACGCTCACTGACTGCGAGATTTATGATTTGTTACGTAACGACGTCTCTGGTAAATTTAGTTTCGTATACACGGTATATATAATCATTTCACAGACTAGCGAACGCACATTACCCGAGACATCCGATAGTAGATAATGCACGGCGTGTACAGAGGACAGTGATATACTGCCTGTTAACACGAATCCGGGACACCGTTAAATAATTAAAGAAGCCGAAATATATCGATTGCGTCTTCGCATTTATTCGTATTCGACTCCGGCCCGGGGTGAATACTTGCTGCTCCTTTTACGAAATTTCCCATTCCAGTGGCAGAAAGTTATTACTTAACAACGCATCGTACGCTTCTTTTTCTTGTTTCGCACTTATATTCCATGCACGCGTTTCGTTTAAATTGTCAATTAAATCGATTACGCGATCGTTACTCGCGTTACGCGAGATTTCAGGAACATTGTCAGCCTAATGGTGGCCACTTTTGAACGTGAAAAAGGAAGAGTTGTGACCACCGACTTCGTATAATATGCAAACAGTACGTCCATCACGACGAACAATACACGAGAAGGTTTCGATCGCCGAAGGCTTGCGTGCAAGATAGCCGGCCGATCAGACGTGGAGTGTTAGGAGCAGGCGTGATACCGCTTTTTGCGGGTTAACCGACGACGATACCACGGCATGCTAACGGTCATGCGATACACTAGGTCACGCATACAAAAAGAAATGCACACACATGCGATATTTTTCCATACAAGCGCATCGTTCGATGCGAACAACTTGGAAACTCCAAAACATCTCCGCCCGTGTTCGGTCGTTTCGCTTGGCCCTTATACCTGACAATAGGAGTAATTGCAAGTTGATAGAAAGTTCTTCTTGATTGCGGTGAACCATCGGGGTAAAAGGGTGCGAAGGTAATCCACTTTACCCGTCACACCTCGTACACCATGCCAGACATTGATTTTGCATTATCGTTGCCGGTAAACCGAACCGATTGGCTCACCTTTTCTCCGTGTTCACGTGCATACGCGAGATATCTCGGTGTACAGATGCTCGCGTGTAAGTGCTTGTCCACAACGGTCACGCGTTAGTGTTTGTATTTGTGCGAAGGGGGCAAGCTTCGGCGCGGAAGGGTGCAGCACGCAAAGTCGAGGGCGGCGGCAACCGCAATATTAGATTAATGGCGGATGTACTTCACTTTCGGTGCCATATCGTTTCCCGACGTAGATTCGAACGGAAATTAAACCGCTCGAATAGCGTCGTACCAGTCGGACAAATTGAAAATTCTCCTTAATTACTAGCTGCTTGTAATTTACGCGCGTATATTACGCACTGCGTGACGTGACTTTATGTTTCGTTATTTATGTAAGAATTAATTCAGGGAGATAGAAATTCCAAGACAGTTCTTTTATCTCGTATCTTAGATCATCGCGATACGGGATGCAGATGCTTGGCTAAATTTTAAGAGATCCACACTGTACCACACGACAACGTATCGTCGCGTAGCATAAAGAAGCATAAATCAATGTGCAAAAAGTAGAAAGTTATAGCCACCGAGACGTCGAGGCAACGTCTTTGCTTGAACAAGCGGCAGCACCGGGATGGCCTCGAGGGCTGAACGAGGTGGAAGAGCAGAATGGGAGATCCCAAGCCTTGATCGTGATAAGATGCAGCGGCGTCGTCGGTTGACAAAGGGTCGTAGGAACGCCCCCTCAGATCCGACGTGCAACCGCTTGCGGGGGCGTACATATTAAAATTGGCCCCCCACCTCTGACCCTCTATCAACCATTCGCCGATCTTGTTTATTACTGGCACGTACAATCACGTTACCAGAAAATATGATCCCTTTTACCGAAAACTCTAACCTCTGTTGTATTCGCCAGCTCGCATCCTTCTCTCGTATCTCTGTGTCGTAACTTTCTTCGACACCGACGTTTCAGAACATCATACTCACAGCTCTCATATTGTTCTTTATAAAATTAATTCTCTGGATATTTCAATGTGTACTGCCTTTATTTATGATTCTTCCGCATTCACTTTTTCTCTCCTTTGATATTCTCCATTCCATTCGTTAGTTTGCATCTTTATAGATACTCGTATTCGCAACGACAATACTAAAACACGTAATGTATTCGCGCTATATGTCGGAATGTTTAACCTACAACGCGTTAACATTTACGTATTCTTATACGAAAACGTGTTTCTTAAACGCAAATATTCATTAAAAAATAATTGATATTGTTTGTAGAAAATATGATGAATGATTATTCAAAATGATGATTCAATAAAGCGAAATATATAAATTCAATAATAAATCGAGATTTAAATATGGTACCGGTATGTTTATCATACAGTCTTATTCTTTACTGTCATTAAAAAAGAAAATGGATAAAAAATATAAAAGCCGTATGAAAGAACAATACATGTAAGAGAAATTAAATCGTTACCTGTTATTTTAATTGTTTCATAAACATTCTACCATTTGACACATGTGCACATGGCGTTTACATCATACACGTATGCCAACTGTAACAATGTAGCACACTTGTTAATTATAATCATATATTGTTGCATTGCATTGGCACTTATATTGTGAAAAATATTTCATTTATTTTCTTCACTTAAAAAAATACTAATGCACGTTTACCTCCTATGGATATTCCTAAATTAAGCCAGGCGTCCTTTTTCTTTGCGAACAAAACTTTTCCTGCGAAGAGGTTAACGATACATCCATCGTGTAGTTTCTGACTATATCGACATAGGGATGAGACAAAGTACAACTAATGCTGCCCTCTTCGGCACGATGACCAAAACATCGCACGAGTACGCCATTTTGAATATTTACCATTCCGTTTTAGCGCGTCCTGTTTGGTGTAAATATCAATTTTAAATTTCATTGTACCGTGTTTTGGTTACCGAGTATAGTTGACAACAGCAAAACAACGATGTTCCCGCAGAGTTCACAGAGAAGGTACTGGATATTTAGCGACGAAAATGATTTGACAGCGTTGAGAGAAAAAACCAACGTAGAATTTATTCAAAAGCATGGTGCGAATATGACGGTAAGTTATGCTGTTTTTAATGGAAAATTAACGATGTAATTTTGAAGATTAATTTTCATATATGATTTTTATCGTGTGTCTCATGTTTAAAAACAAAAATATACTTTCCGTATTATCGACTACAATTTGTAGGTTATGTAGAATTCAAACCTGTAGCTACATGAAACATATTAATAAATGTGTACTTTGTTATATTTTTACTTGTTTACCTTTTCTCACAATTTATTTGTTATTGCGTTTTCTTTTAATGTGTGAATGTTGTGAACTATATGTGTTATTTTACCAAATTATGATTGGAAAGCCAGAGGAAAGGGAGGAACATTTTCTATCCCACACAGAAGAACGTACATTACTACGTTTTTATGAATTACAATTGAGAGACTTTTGTCGTCGTTTCACTCCTTCAATGCCACGTGCTACTGTAGCGACGGCATTACATTATTTCAAAAGATTCTACCTTAGAAACAGTGTTATGGATTATCATCCCAAAGAAATCTTAGTCACATGTGTCTACTTGGCTTGTAAAGTAATTATTGTTTCTTCAAACAACCTGCTCATGAATTTGTGCAGCTTGTTACTGTGGTTTATTTTAGGTAGAGGAATTTAATGTATCCATATATCAGTTTGTTGCTAATATTAAGGGAGATAGAGAAAAAGCATCTGATATCATTCTTAATAATGAATTACTCCTCATGCAGCAACTAAATTATAACTTGACAGTACATAATCCATTCAGACCAGTAGAAGGTTTAATGATAGATATTAAGGTATATCTTCAATACCTTTCTATCGACATAATTTCAAAATTCAGTGAAATTTAATCCATGTACTTCTAGACAAGGTATGTTTCTTTGGAAAATCCCGAAAAGTTAAGGCCTTATATAGAAGAATTTTTAGAAAGGGTATTTTTGACTGATAGTGTTTTGCTATATACCCCAAGCCAAGTTGCATTGGCTGCAACATTACACGCTGCATCCAGAGCTTCTGCTAATTTGGACAATTATGTGACAGATATTTTGTTCTCCAAAGAACATTTAGGATGTATCATAGAAGCAGTCAGAAGTAAATATCATTCTTGTTGTTTGTATTATTTAGAAATATTTCCATAATACATTTTAACTGGCTGGTATAATATGTATTATAGAAATAAGATCTATGGCTAAGTTTGTGGAACCTCCTTCAAGGGAAGTGGTAAGAGCTTTGGAAAAGAAATTAGAGAAATGTAGAAATCAGGAAAACAATCCTGACAGTGAAATGTAAGTATAGTTTTAAAGCTAAATTAAATATAAAATTAAGTTTACTCTTCACTAGGTATCTTTATGAATCCTGTTTGAATAAGGTAGGTTTTAACAATACTTTGTTCACTATACTATTACAGCTATAAGCAGAGAATGCAAGAAATGTTGGATGAAGAAGATTTACAGGATAATGAAAAATATGCTAAAATTATACAAGATCAAGCAGCTCACGATGAGAAAATTTTGGGTGTCAGTAAAGTCCTGTCTCCCTCTGCTCTATAATAAAGAAATCTTTCAGATTGTACTAATATTATTTCTTATTTACTGTACAGAGAATAAATAATTTATTACTTTAGATCTCCTTTAATAACATATAAGGAAGGATTACACTATTTATTAATACTACATAATGATTTAATTAAGAGATAAAAATATATTTGTTAGTTTTTCATTAAAAACAGAAGATTGTTATAAAAATTAATTGCTGTATATATTGTGTCTCCTTATATTAAATGCGAATAATAAACTCCTTATTGTTTTTTGTCCTTTTTCATACGCCTGTCCTTATTTAATTATAAATATTAAATGTTTTATAATTTAATTTTTCAGAATGGCATGTTTTTGAAATGCCACATTTGGTGTAAATTTTGGTTTCATTTTAATATCATTATCTATTAATATAATAAAAAAATTATCAAGTACTTTTAATGCCTTTCTAATGCCTAAAAACGCTATTAATTTTAAAGCGTTCAAAAATACGTATCACATATAAATCCCAATGCTTATTGATTCGATTCCGCATCATAATTAGTATTGCACATGAACATTCTCAATTTACGATGTACGTCCATATCTAAGAATCTTGATGCCTAAAGTCCAATCTTTGGCTTAAATGATATGTCGGATTGCTCGTGGGAATATTTTGAAAAATCGATGTTTGCTGACCCATCGTCAAATTACTGGGCAATGGTTGCACAATCGGCAAGGCAGATGGTAAGGGGACGGTCGTTAAATGCTGTGGAAAGATCGGTGCTCCTGGTTGCAATTGCGTCGGGTAATTGAAAAACCTGTGCGAAACTATTTACATTAAACAATATCGAAATTACGCAGAACGACTTACCAAACTTACCAAAGACGATCCTCGACGAAGATTGGTCTGGGTGCAGGAATACCTAAACTGGAGTAGTATTGTTGCGCCAGGAGTTCCACATCATTTGTGTATTTCCTTTTCCACTTCGTACGCCTGTTTTGGAACCAAATTTTAATCTGCGAACACAAGAAGCGATAGAAAAATTCATTACATTCAGTTTGCAGTGTAGTCTTTAATAAATAATTGAAGAGGCAGGATGAAGAATTCATCGATTTCGCAACACACTTGGACAAGACGAAGTACGGTATGCAGTATGCCAAGATGAAGAATTTTCAAGCAATTTTTCCTCGTCAGGACCAAAAAATTTGCCCCAGGTGAGGATCGAACTCACGACCTTAAGATTATGAGACTTACGCGCTGCCTACTGCGCTACCGAGGCGCTTGCAGAGCTTTCCCTTAACATATATGAAGTGCAAGCTTTGCAAGCTCTAGCTTTTTAAATGTATTTTGTCAAAGATGAAACATTTGTGTCTCACGTCGACCAATGACGAAAATTCAACAATCTTCGACGAACTTAATCGTGAACTTAAAGAAAAAAGAAGATGTACGACTCGGAGTGTATCACATGGAGAAGTGGATCAACCCTGGCCATGAGAAAAAGAGTAACCACGTGAGGCAACTCAGGGGGAAAAAAACGATGTCAGCATCTTGGGCACGATTTCTACAGAATTTTGTGACGGAGAATGATGCCTAAACCGGATTCAGAAGGTTCAAAGCAGTAATATATCCTAATTAAAAAATCGACGCCTCTTCGGTCCGTCGCCTCGCAGCATCCGTTGTCCCTGGATGCTGCGTTCTTGTGGCATGCTGGAAACGCACGCACGAATCGGAGGAACAGTAGAGCAAGAAGAGGGGACTCCCGGAGCTGGCTCGTTAACTACGAGAAATATTGTGACAGTTATGTCTGCGCCACGACACGTCTCCTTCTTCCCTCTGATCCGTCGTCTGATCGTCCTTCCCCTTTGCTGTGATCGCGAAGATAATTATCTGCCTCGTTCACAGCGTCCCGCGATATTTCTACCATTCTGGCAATTATTGCAGCTCGCAACATTGCGGGTCTGCAGGATTGCAGCAACTCGGCTGAACGGAAAATATCTAGGATATTATCATAAATTAATTAGTTTAAAGCGATGCAACAGCGTGCCACGCGCCATGCTATAAAGTAAATGGAAGAATTATGTAACTGTCGCTATCCATTATACATCTTTGTGCAGCTAACGCGGAGATTATCTAAATCTTCGTTGAAAGCTGAGCACTCTGGACCGCGAAGATAATATTAGAAACCAGAAATCAAATTGCGCAGAAAAATGAGCAAAGGGCGTCGTCGTTTCGACGTGGCGCCTGCAAAAGGCAGAAGGGAAGAGAGTTCCGAGAAAAATGCAATTTACACGAAGTACAATGATTGATTATAGATTTCCGCGAAAGGAAGTGGCAAACGTTTCGCGTTCTTGTCTCATCCTTGCGAGAAGAAAGGGCGTATAAGTGCTAATTGGTCCTAAAAGGCGATCTTCCTCCTTGGCGCCACGATCTGGCGCCTACACATATGGCGGTCTTTAAAGCCATAATTCAGTGCTCGGTTGATTTTCAGGAACTTAGGGCACAGGGAGCCTAAACTATTTCAGGTGGCCTAGCCTACGGAAGTCGCAGACGTTATCGCAATTTATTGTACGCGATGCATCTCGTTCGAAGCGACTTCCGCGAAACGTGTTTCCTTTTAATCACGGGGGAATCTTATTTAGCCCTAGTTCTCTTCTCGTTATGAAATATAATGGGTAATTTTTCTCGTCCGAGCGAAACGGGGCTTCCAGACGGATCAGTTTCCGTTGCATCGCTGTTTAGAACGAATACTCACGCAAAATTATGCAACACGTACCTGAGTCTCAGTGAGTTTCAGAGTCTTGCTGAGCTGCAACCTCTTTGCCACGCTGAGGTATTTGTTCCTCTCGAATTCCGCTTCCAATGACTTAATTTGCGCCGCGGTGAACGCTGTACGAGGCCTCTTCTTTCTTTCGTCATCGCTAATGGCGCTGTCACTTTTTTCTTGAACCTCTCTATCCACACCTGTCGTGGAGTTGGCACTGCTGCTGCTAGTACACGCCTCTGGTAACACCGTGAAAAAGATTACGCTCTTTCTATGTGTAGAACGGTATACATCTGCGAGAAATGATAATTAAACAACGTTTCCTTATCGTGTAATTATCGAATAATTGCGCGACGTCGGTCGTGTTACTTCAGTGCGATTAAGTGGAATGAAAACGCGCGGTAATTAAATGAGCTCTAATAACACGCGTCTCATGTGAGATTAAACAGCAGACTACCGCAAATTATAAACTATAACATTGTATTCGGTGTTTGACCAGGAATAAACGGAACTAGATTTAAGCAACTGACGCGATGACAAAGGCCTGTTATTAATGGTAAAGCGGTGTTTTATGCGCCGTGACGTGGCCTGTTCTCATTTTAATTGCTTTTAAATGAGATCGAGACCGTGGGCAATGCAAACCACCGTCTCTCTTTTTAACTTAACCAATCCCAATTACCCCCGCAGGATTTCTTTCCTCATCAATCTCGTTACTTTTTGCCCCCGTCGAAGTTGTTTATATTTATATTTATCCCGGGCTTACAAGCCGCTGGTACAAGACGTCGCGCCTCGCCCATGAGGAATGTCTTTGGGGTCTCTTTTAGTCGACTGGTAACAGCACCGCTCTCTAAGCAGCGGGGATCATCTTCTAATTATCTGCCCATTCGTCATCCGACGAAAAACCATGGCAGCATAACGCTCCACCGTTGAACGTATGTCTGCTACTTCAAAGAAAAAAGCACACTCGCGACACACCGTCCACATCATCCTCGTCTCGCGCATAGGGTACACGCACACCGTACCCTATTTCCTTACCTTTCCCAGCAGACTGTAAAATGGAGATTAATATCCAATCTTCTCGTACGACGGAATCGATCCCGCTATACTTCGTGTCGCCTGGACATAGTTATACTTCTGTTATCGAGTAATTCGGAGCAAGCGTTTCGCGGAGATAAGGACTCGTATATCACGGTATGAAATCGCGGCGAGGGAAATCGGTTATTTCGGCGTCGATAAATCGATGACAAAGCTTCCTCGTTCGCAAGAAGAATGGATCAACTCGGACGACCCCAGCAGTCGGAGGTGCAATAAATATCTCGAAAAAAGTATTTGCGGCGTGGTTACCGGGACCGCGAAGTGTCGTTTACCGGCTACTAATTGTCAGATGGCGACGTAATTGTCGCGTTTCTCGCGCGTTTTTCGAGACTTCTCTTCAGCCCCGTACTACAGAGTCGTCGGCTAAAACCGTACCGCCTCTAATTCACTCGACGTGAACCACGTCGTGCGACGTGTACGCTTGTGCACGTGTAAATTCAGGAAGGATTCCAACTCGAATGCTGGGAAACAGTATGTGCAGATAATAATATCAAACTGTACAAGTTGCACGTGTTTACATTTTAGATTTGAACGATGCATCTGTTGCATTAGCACAATGTCTGCGCGGCACGCAGCTGGAGAGGAGTTAAATCTATCTAGAGAGCATCACCGTCTATAGAGAGGTGTCGAAATTGCTTCGAGGAGGATTCTTTGGACGGAAAAGGAAGGATAGTTTTACAGGTTAGCATTCTTTACCGGGAAAGATGGTAACAAACGAGCGGAAGAGGAAAATATTTTCGGAGGGTGCCATTCTCTCACGCGGCTCATTTGTCGTCGACTTTCTGACTCGGTTGCATTGACGAACGAGCTCCGGTAAAGGAGAAGAGGAAGAAGAGGGAAGAAAGGGTTGGCGTGGAAGTCAACGGTGCAAAAAGGAGCGTAAAACACGAAGAAGCGTGCGGAGGAACCCGTCGAGGAGCACCGCAAGCGTCGCCGAAATAGAACACCACGCCCTCTAGTTTACCTAATTGCCGCGAGCCACGGTGAACTTGTCTCCTAATTATTCGGTGATGAATGGCGAGAGCACGAGTAGAAATGCGCGATAAAGCGTGGCTAATTTTCATTCGTTCGGCGTTGCACGATTTCACACTCGTGGCCAACTAGCAGGATAATTAATTCGTACGCATGAGTTGTACCGATTGGACGCTTCAGGATAGACAGATGGCTAGATCTTTTGTTATGACCTAGGATAGACGTTCTACGAGATTAGCGATCAAAGCTATGACAGAATGCAGAGATTTCAACGAAAGATGTGGCGGTTCGCGCGGCATAGGGAATTGGGCGATTTCGAAGCCGGAAGAGGGATTAGGGGGCGAAGG